GGGAGCCGGCCCATCCCCGGATCGCTCTGCCAGAGCAGCGGGCGGCTGCGAATAAGAACCCCAACCCTGGAAGAGGCGGGGGCCGGGGTACAATAGCAATGCTTCGCCATCGCGCCTGCCGCATTTCGGTTTTCCAGCTGCTGTTTCCATCAGGTGGGCCAGGCAGCCCCCCTTTGCCTTTAAAATATTGAAAAGTGGTTAATAATAGTTCCGCATTGTCAACGTAATCAAACATCAAACGACTGATGGAAATTCAATAGTTCCAACTTGTGCTGTCACGAGTACCTGCCAGGGGCCTGCGCGCAAGGGCCTGCAATTAGCACGCTAAAAGCCCGGCTGTGCCTGCCGATAATTAGATTTCTATATGCATTGCCCTTTCCACATTTCCAACGAATGACATGGGGAGCTGCTCTTTTGCAGGTCTGAGAGAGCGAGGCCCTTTTCTGCGGCTCCTAAGCGTGGAATCGTGATTTTGCAGCGGGCTGGGACAACGGCCCTCGGTGCTGCCGGCGGCACCGGCGAAGGCCCGCAGGGCACTGCTCCCCGCTCAGCGCCCGCCTCGCCGGGACTCTCCGGCCATCTGTTACCTTGTGGTTAGCAGCGTGTTCTCACATTGCCTACGGATGCACAAGGCAAGAGAAGCAGAGTTTGTCTGTTGCAGTTCTGCAATCCAGGCTTTTCCTTAAGAGGAAAATGTACTTGCTAGAGGAGAGACCCTGAAATCAGAGTTTTAGCCCTCAAGTGTCTAACACCGGACTCCCTGAATCTTACTTGGACCCACACACAACCACTTTACTTCTCATTTACCAAATACTTTACATTTTTACTTTCGTTATCAAAAGACAGAAACAGAATTTTGGTCTTGACTTGCGCTTTTCCAAGATCCCGCGTTCGTCCCCGCACGTACCTGCGGTGTGACTTCCGACACGGCCTTAGGCTAAAGCCTGGCTCAAGCTGGTGCTGTGCACGGCTCGCTCCAACAGTGCTAAAAACATTTAAAAATTGCATTAAACCTACATCTTGTATTAACATGAGTTAACATGATCCCCAAAGCTCTGTGAAACTATTGTCTTATCCATCTAAGAAAAAACCTGCCGACTATCTATGCTCTGCCCCCATCCTGAAAGGAAAACACCACACAAATAGTCTTTAAAAGGTTTGACTGCGGCATAATATGGGAGCTGAGGGGCCAGAGCCCGTTCTCTCTTTTGTGCAAATGAGACGGGGGAACGGAGGCGAGGACTTGGGGAAGGAACTGACGCTGAGGAAGCGGCCCCACAGGAGGATTTATTCACTTCCGAAAGCCCAAAGGGACCCATCTGCTGCCGTCAGGAGAAAGCATTGAGCCACTTGCTCTCTGACCGCCTTCCAGCAGCGCGGCTCCCGTTGGGGGAAAGCCCTCTGCGTGTTTTGCTGACTCGTGCTCAGCAGCCCTCCCGCCTCCGGTTTATATTAGCACCACGTAACACCAAAACATCTCCCGTTACAACTCTTATTTAGAAATTGCTCTTTGCAGATAAGAAATCAGTAGGCCTAGTTCCCCCCTTAGACTAAATAAAGAGTGTGCATCACAAACTCTTTTAAGCTCCCAAATCACTGATAACATCGGTGAGAAGGAACAATCTAGACATTTCATCTTACTATTGAAGCCTGGGGTTTTTAAACCATTTTAAACACATCTATTATAAAGCCATACAAACTCAGCTTTTCCCTGGGGGCGAATACCTCCAGGAGAAGGATGAACCAGAAGTGGGCAAGCAGCTGCTGAGACATCGCTGTAGGTCACCAAACAGCATCAGTTTTACCTCTGAATGACGTTACCGTGCTGTCTAGACATTTTTCCATGTATCGGAGGTTTGAAATGCTTGGACGTGGCAGCAGGGATCTCAGGCAGAAGCACGGCTGCAGCGTTCAACAAAATACAACCCTGTTCTCAAAACGACCAAGCTTATCATACTGCAGCCCTCCAAAAGCCAGGCAGTTATCGTCATCACTAGGGTGTTACAGAGTTGACAGCCCACATTTGCTTTTATGCATAGTGAGGAACAGGAAAAAGTGAGTTTAAATACTTTAATCCACACACTTTAATCTACAGAGAAATACAGTACAAATAGCAAGACAACAAAAAGATGCATTAGGAAATTCAGTAACAGAGTCAGTGCTGTGAAAAATCTGTATTTACAAACTTCTATGAAGAACAGGGAGCAGATGTTTCTCAGAAGAGTCTTCTGGGAGCTTAAGTCACAAGAGACAGGCCACGGTACAGCTGACTGAAGACAAAACTTTTCTTCCGTTCCATCTGTGCCGATGCGGAGTACCTCCACAGAACCGGGTGGAGTTCTGCGGCTTCAGAGTTGCAGCTTCTCCCAGACAGAACCCGGCCCGAGTACTCAGATAACACGCATCACCCGCACGCAATGACGCGAGTGCACGTCACCGTTACGGGGGCGATGGCATTATCACCCGCTTCAGACATACTGGACGAAGCCAATGAGGGTGCAAACAGAGACCTTCACGAGGCGTTCCACAGTCACGCGTCCTGTGCCTACGCCGCAAAGAACGAACACGCTTCCCAGCTTTTATGACTAGGAGTTTTACAGTAATGCTTCCTTATCCTCCCATTTCAGCCCGCCTTCTTTTAAAAAACAAAGGAAAAACAATTTGGGATTTGAAAGCATCACCTGATGTCAAGAAAAAAAGTAACATATTTTGGCTTTAGACATTTATATTGGAGGTCCAACATTATGTTGGCTGGTTATTTCTTTGCAAGTCAGATCTCGTATACTTTACAGCTGGGAGCATTCAGGTTTGCTCTGAGTTTTTGTTCTCTAAGAGAGGCAGGAATGGTGCAGACAGCTTTTGCTTATGCTTGGGCACTAACTAATACCTATCTCAAACTGCACCATAAGGAAACAACTGTTCTGTCCAGAGTAGTCCCATCACGCCTTCCTTATGCTTCCGGGGGAAAACCAAAAAAATACTGAATCCCAGTTGTCACCTTTCTTGGTTGAAAAAAACCCTAAGATGTTATAAATTCTGCTTTTTGATCTATTACTTGCATTTTAAGCTCATTTTTTACCTATTTAGTGCAACTTCAGAATATAGGCATAAACACATTCAATACAAATCCCAAGTCACAGCATCACAGTAGTTCCAAGCTACAGAATAACTTTTTTTTTTAAACTGTTAACATGCTGGTATTTTCTTGAAAGTAGTTATTACTAATTTAAAGTTACAACTCTTAAAAGTAGCATTTTTACAGTATTCTGATCACTAGTTACTAAATAGAAATAACTACTATACATATTGAAGTTACAAGCTACAAAAATAAAAATACATTCTGTTTAACTATAAAAATCCTAGAAAGAGAAGACGGCTGGCCGTACTCTAAGGATGACAACAGTTGGTAGCAGACAAAATGGCTTTTGAGGGATGTAAACTTTGAAGATACAGAACGCAATAAACTCAACATAAGTTTCCACTGACTCTTAAAAAGAAAACGATTTTCGTGCTGAAATCCACAAACAAGTTGGAAATGAAACAATGCAACAAATGAATTACGTACAGCCATACGAGTATACAGCACGGTACGCAGGGCAGTATTAACAAGAAACAGAGTAAAATTTTGAAAACGTTCATACTTTTGAACAGGTAAGGGCCAGATCCTCAGCGAATGTAAACCAGCATAACAGCGCTAGGTTTAGTCAAGGCATGTGGCTTTACTCCTGCTAGAAGTCTCTCCCTGAGATGCCCAAAACCTGAACTGGGTATTCAGCACTCTTAGCGAGATCAAGACATTTTGGTCATGCCGTGCTTTGAAAACTGTGGCCTAAATGAAGTCGAAATGCAAAATGTGTAAATTCTCTCAATTCACCTAATTGCTAAATGAACAAGTGCTCTCTGTTGTCCCATTCCTGTGTTCAGGAAGCAGCTATCATTTCTCGGAAAAAAAAATCAGAGCATTTTTAAATAAGTGGTTCACATTCAACACGCTCAGTTATGCCACTAGTACTTTTAAATCTGAAGATATCCTAGTTTACTCCTAACTGAAGGGTCAAATCTTTTTTCTTTTCCAAAAGGAAGAAAACTGCTAGTAAACGGTATGAAATACAGAACAAAAAAAGGATTTTCAGTTAGAACACATGCAAAGATTCTTAAGTGTCCTACTCTTACCCATAGATTAACTCACCAGGATACAGTGGTGCTCTACCAAAAAGCATTTGTCACCAAGTAAAAAAGATTAAGTATTCTAACATTGATACCATTATGCTGTTCACAGCTAAGGTACAGTGCTTTAAGTGGTTTTTAACCAGTGAGATACAATAACACACGCTATAAAAGCTGCGAGCTTCAGTGCAACATAATGCAAAACGAGAAGGAACTGGCCAAACTGAAACCAGAACCTTGAATGATCAGTGCTCAGAACCTGTGGAGAATGGGGAGGTTCCTCCCCAGCAGCGAAGAGCAAAAGTTGTACTTTCAGAATAGTTCAGTGGGACTGGGAACCTTTGGAGTCCTTTCTAATATCTTCCAGGTGTGGTGACGGTGACTGAAAAAGCCAAACAGGTGGGTTACTGTGCAAAGAACGAGCTGTGTGAAGGCATTCCCATTTTCTTTTCTGATAAGCTAGCTGGCATGAAGGATAAAGTAGACAAAAGAGAAGCTCACTATCCCGATTTCAGCAGAGCTTTTGATACTGTCCCAAATGACATTTTTAGCTGAAAGTGAGCCAGCATAAAATAAGCAATTAAGTGACTGAGGGAAAGAAATACTGAGTAGTTGTAAGCACTAGCAAGACAAAATGTATGGGGGAACAAATCCTCAATCTGAATCAGCTGCAGTTATACAGAAGAAACTTTTAACTTACTCCTGCTATAAGCATTGCCTCAACAAGATGATTTTCTCCAAGTGTGTTCAAACATGGTAGCATTTGCTTTTGCAACCAGGAGAAACTCAAGTCTGTTTTCTGAGAGCAAGTACTTAAAGCTTCTAACTAAAGTAAATGGTGTTTCAGACTACTTAGTGCCTGACAAAAGCAAGACCTGGGAAAAAAAAAAACGTATGAAGGGGCAACATCAAAAGTGAACATTAAAAAAAAGAAGTATCAAATGCATGAATTATGCT